CGTTTAGTCATTSGGGAAGCTCTCGCGGTAGTCCAACCGAGTCCCTTTCACTATCACAGACTGATACCGAGTATTCGCCAATACGRCCTTCAGAGAGATCACCATCGGTTAGTTAACTCAATTATTTGATTCAGTAGCCTGTGTACATCCGTTCCAACCCCTCCCCCCTACGGGGAAGATTCATCCAAGAAATTTCCCCGTAGGGGGAGGGATGGGAACGGATGTACACAGGCTATCATTGATCCATCAATAGATTACCGAAGTGTAACTTCACGCAAAAAACTCGTTTTCAAACTTATAAAATGTTCATGTTGCCATATTCTTTAAGGGAACTATGAGAAAAACTAGCTGTTGAAATACGGATATTTATACCATTTACAGCCTTTTGCAAAAATTATGAGAATTGTTGAAATATCTAAATATCATATTATCGAGTGCATGATGGGTAATCCCGCGCGATGCCCTTAGKCCATTGTCTTTGTAGTTTATTTATTTTYTTTTTGGCAACAGACTTATCTGTAGTTCTGAACATTTTCTCGATGTCAACAATGAATTATTCTAGCAAACCCGCGTGTTCCGGACAATATATGGATATGGATATTATGATATTTAAATATTTAGACAATTCTCATAATTTTTGCAAAAGGCTGTATGTCTGGATTAAAATAGATATATAATCATGTACAAATTTACAAGGCTTTGTATGTGGTTATCCAACTATAAAGTAAAGTGATTGTACTTCCACTATAAAAAGTTCTAGGGCACTGAAATTCCCCAAGAACTGGAAGCAACTTTTCTAAAAAGTCTGTGGCGTCATCTCGTCGATGTTCTATACATGTAGATGTTTCCTTTAACAGCTTATTTATTGTAATTACAATAATAGTTAGAATTTATATTCCAGTTTCGAATTCGTTTTTGTGCACGCTTAAATTGTTATTTTCACTAGTGAAAATATCACATTCGAGGTTTCTCTATATAGTGGGAGTGAGAAAAAAGGTATTACGACATAATTTGCATTCATATGTAATTATATGATAAACAGAATATTACATGGTCGCTTGGAGATACGGATTTTATCTTCTCGTGTTGAAAATCTCTCACTCGTTCGCTGCGCTCACTCGTGAGAGATCTTTTCAACACTCGAAGATAAAATCCGTATCTCCGCGCGCCCATGTAATATCCTCTATATATTACATGCTTTCGAGGCACAAATAAGATCTCGAAACTGATGTATTATAGTTTGAAATATTATTTTCTTTTATTTATGATACTTACCAATTGTTTTCCAAACCTCCCAGCCAACTTATGATGTAAGGGGCAGAAGCACCCATCCTGGAGAGCCAACAAGCCGCTATCACCCTCCTCTATATTACCCAAGTCATCAGGGGGGAGATCGCATGTCTCCAGGATCACTGGATCAGCGAATGCTCGCTGAATTAAATAGACTTGAGTTTATGGAGGAATCAGTCAGACAGTTGACCGATATTGAAAGGACYAATGCAGTGTCTCTTGCGCAACAAGAAACAGTTTCACTTGCACAGATCCTTAAGGTACGAGAAAAATAGCTGTGATGTGATAATGATGTCTTTTATGCAGTGAGAAACCACCTCCTCGGAACCCACTCCCTTGCTTAATTTCATACCGTGGGAGACTGAACGAAAGAACGGATATGTTCATCAGTACTTTCGGAGAACAATGCGTCCGCCATCTTGAAAAGTGGGACTCGAATCACTAAATTATAACTCCTAAAGGAATTAGAAAACTTCTCAGCTAATGTCAAGTTAATATAAAAGCTGACTTAGCAACTACGAAATCTGTTCTAAGGCACAACGTAGTGATTCGGGTCTCACTTTTCAAGATGGCGGACGCATTGTTCTTTAAAAGTACTGATGCATTTATGAGGACGTTGTACTGTGAGAAAATGATGAGCCCACATCACTAACGATCTGCGGTTTGTCTCTCAGGCCAAGCAAGCTGCCTATGCCAAGGAAATGGAAGCACTTCAAATCAAGGCTCAAAAAGAAAAACTAGACGCTGCGCGTGAACTGGACGAGGTAAATCATCATTTTTACAGTATTCACGCTCTTCATTTTCATCTCTCTATAACATTTAATTTTATTTTCTACGTGATTTCACATAGGCCAGGTATTCAGCAAAGAAATCAACACTCGATGCTCAAGAAGCCGTCGCCAAGGTGAAAGCAGAGGCTGCCGATAATATTGTACAGTCAGCTGATAGACTAGTTAAGGTAATGTCGGTGATAATTATGTGTGCAACACTTCGCACTATAGTGCWAATCAAACAATAGAAAACAATAGAATTTGCATAATTTAGAAGTATTTAGTGGTATTTATGTTGCACAGTTTTAGTGTAAGTTTGTACTCTATCATAAAACACAGCAGAGAAATAATTTACAAAAAACACGATCAATCCGAGCCTGGCCGTCGCCATTTTGAATTTTTCCAGAAGCCATATTGAATTATTCACTGATTAATTTACTGACAATAAGTGTTATCCCTTCATAGGCTCAGACTGAAGCAGCTCGTGTGACGACTGACTCTGCGAAGAAAGTCGAAGAGGTAAGAAAAGGGAATTGTCTCATAGGAAGTTGAGCAATGCATGACGGTAAATATAGTCCTCGGGATTTTTTATGTCCACAGAATCCCAGTGTTTTCTTTGCAAAACTTCAAGTAATATTGCGCTCATGTTATTGTTTACATACGTTTAAATGTGTCAAGCATACAATAGATTATAGATTGATAGTACCTGTGAGGTACTTAGTTAAAGGTATTTGTGCCCAAACTGAAAAGATGGAAGACGATTCACTCTATGAAATCATACGAATTCGCCATTTTCGTGTTCACCTAAAACAGCGCTTAGGCTCGCAAGGTACAGCGGTTGGTTGTGATTCTTTAGGGAGCACAAAAACGGATTTAGGGGATTATTTTGATTTACATAAAAAAGTGCGAGGACTACAACTCCCATTATGCTTTGCTTCACAAAATGGCGTCGCTCTACATTACCTATTTTGTACCATTATTTACCGCTCAGTTCACATCTGTCTCTAGGCTCGCAATGAGGCTGCAAGGACTCTTCTAGCAGCTGCCAATCACCAAGTCACTGACGTTCGTGAAGTAGCATCGTCCGCCGCTAGTGCAGCCGCGCAAGAGGCTGTTCGAACAACTTTGGAACAATTCCGTCAAGAACTACGACCATCTAGAAAATACGATACTTCTCACTCTACYCCTGACAGTCGGTCTCGTGGTAGTTACTCACGTGACAGTTATAGTGACGAGCGGTCACCYAGCTATAGCCGATCCAGGTCCTCACGGATTGCTAGTGAGAAAGAGTCTGGTGCGAGTAAAGCYGCTGATGGCGGTGGATACACGAGTGATGAGTTTGAGTCGTTCAAGGAGTCAGAGACAGCAAAAAGGTACTTTTTTTCTAATTTTCCCGATTTTTTGTGGCTAGTGCCTCGTAAGAGGCTTAAGCCACTATGCTATCATCCTTAAGTGTGTGCATAACTCGGTTAGTCTTCGGTCGAATTTGTTCTTGCCGATGGCGGACCGACCTAATTTCTGTATCGTCCGTATACGTTGGGATTCCTATGTAATGATGTCATAGATTTAAGTGCACTACCCCACCCCCACTCAGTAGTCTGTTGCATACATGTACATCAAACACTTCCGGTAATTTGCACTTCCGCTTATACTTCCCGTTGGTTATACTTCCGTTACATCTAATTTATACTACCA